GCTAATAACGTCTGCAGCAACTAGACATTTTCAAATATTTAAGCAGCTTTAATCAATATTTTCATGTTACCAATGGATCCCATGACTGTGTGCAATGTATAATACATTGCAATTCCACAGAGAATTACCTCTGTGAATCACACTTTTCCCCGGGTACATTCGTCTTAGGTTAGACAGATGAATAGAAAGCAGATGAATGCTAATGTTGCTCTGTCTGCTGGAGTTGGACTCATGCCAGTGTTAGCTAAAATGTGAACTATTTTAACTGTCGGCTTATTACACTGTGCCATGTGGCCAAAAAATGTCATTAACAACGGTGGTAACGACAACAACTCCCATGATTCCATGTTGTTTAATGATGTTATCAAACTTGGAATCTTTTTGTTGCTTGAGTCACCTTTATATTATACATTAAAATGTTTTTTTCAATCGAGCCTTCAACAGGAATCCCACTCTCCCAATAACACCCTCAATCTTTATTTTCTCTACTTCACCAATTCGACCACAGTTTCCTGTGACTTTTGGTAAGACCCCAAAAAGACCAGCTGCCTCTCTTGAGAGTTCAGTGCCATTTTTGATAACAGCTCCATTGGCTCTCCACAGCTGCCAAAGACTTTGTGGAGACCCAAAACCTCTAGTGTGTGTGATCAAGATCCAAAAAAGCTTCCGGGATCACATTGACATCCAGTGGCAATATTACCATCGGTTCACTTTGATGAAAGCAGTCTCATGACATTTCCCATTGCCACAACAGCATACTTTTAACACAGCAGTGTTCACTTAGCATCCCTTCAACTTGAAATCACATTTGCATGACCGTTGTATGGACAGACAAACTGGTCTCACACAATCCCCTCACATCCCTGTAAGTGCTGTTCTGAAAGGATGCTGAGCAATTTCGAGTGAATAGGGGCTGATTTTGATGGAGACGATGATGATCACTCCATTCAGGCCAAGTAGGAAGGAGATAAAACAGTGTGTCAGTCTTAGTACCAAGATCTCTGTTCATCAGTCTTCAGAAGGGCATAAAAAGCCATTCAGTCTAACTTTTTTGGCCTTCAGCAGTGAGTTTCAGTGTTAAAATATGAGGCTAAAGGAGAACGTGTAAAATATACTGCCTACTTGGTGTAAATGAGGAGATTTGGCCTGTCCCTTAATCTGAATTTGTTACACTGATGTACAACTCTGCTGAGAATGAATTGTAAACGGTAGAATAGGTCACTGTGACAGAATTCAGGATTGCTTTCTCAGAATAAGGCGAGGCCATTTCTCCTTCACAACGCCAGCCCCTCTATTCACTGCTGGCACAGTGGCTGCACACCGTAGATCAGTATGACATCACGGATTTGAGTCTTCAATTTGCCTCGGGGCAGAATGGTTCATTCCACACACTTTGCAGCTCAATAACCCAAATGTCAGTTTCAGTGGGATTCCCAGCGGGGACCATAATTCCTGCACTTTGTCTATGAGAACTGAGCTTTTTTGACCTGAGCTGCTGCAGAATCTTACCTGACGCCTTCTGTGTGTCAGACCAGTGACATGGCAGAGGACAATATAGTTACATTTGAGTTGCGTCCAACCCTAGAGCTGAAGATGATTGAAATCAAGCAGATAATGTAATATTTAAATTCCATTAAACCTTTTCTAATACAATTCATGTTCTGTCATGTTCATGTTCATGTTTCACAGGATGGAGCGTATCATTTTTAACTCCCCAAATGAGAAATCTCACATTTTAAGCCACAAATCAACTGTTCCTTCATAACTAACCTATAATAAATAGGTGATTAACCCTCATGTTTCTCACAGAAGAAAACATATTGTTCCAGGTTTAGAACGCTGTATGACCACGCTACACTCATTTAAAGTTGTGGATTTAACTTCAGTGCTGTTGAATATGGTTTTTTATTGTTGTTATTGTCTACCCACATTTAATTACATAATTAAATATTAGCAAAATAGCAGGATGAAGTGAGTGTTTTGCTCTCCAGTTCTGTTGAGCAGAGGGTGCATCTCTTTCACGTACACATTCACAGCTACAGACATTTTAAAGTCTCCAATTCACCTAACCCCAACCTGTATGTTGTTGGACTGTGGGAGGAAGCCGGAGTTTTCAGAGAAAACTCACACAGACACAGGGACAACATGCTAACTCCACACAGAAAGGACGCAGCCAACCTCTGATTTAAACCTGGAACCTTCTTGGCTGACTGCACTGTGCCACTCTTCTTCCTCATTCCTCCATCAAATGAGGGAAACTGGATCTCACGTATGTTTATAGTCCTATTACTACACTTACATATTTTGTACAGAATATTTGCAGATGCCGCCACAGTTTCAAGGCACCCTGTCACCTCCCTGTGTTACCTTCCTAATGGTCAGTATCTCGGCTCCGAACCATAGTTGGGAGCTCACTGGTAATTTATCTGAAGTTTGGCTTGTTGTCTGGCCGGTAACCAGCCATTCTGCTGTAGAAGGAGGTGTATCGTTCAGAACGCAGCCATTTTATCTGCCCTCCAAAACAGCAGCAGCAACATACAGGGGCGTGGACACAGTTGTGTTGAAACCCTGAGCTTATCACACTTTTACTGCCTAAATATGTTCAGCATGAGCTGTTCTGCGGTTCTTCATTAGCCTGCAGGTACTATTGACACACATCCGTGTCACACTGTGGTCATCCCCATCAAAAACCACAGTTGTTTTTCCTACAGCATGTAGGTGTTCTGCGTCACACACATTGGCTTATGTACTTAAAGGGAAATGCAAGCCTGTAACACCTGTGTACAACATACGATCATCCCTGCGTCACTGCATATAACCCGGTGATATAACCACATCTTGATTTTTGTCTGTTTTAGAGAACAGAGGCTCAGGCCCTTTACACTGTTTGACTTCAGTACATGTGCAGCATGCAGCTAGATTGACTGTCAGCATTTGTGCAGATTAAAACTAAGAAATGGTCCCATGATGTTCTGTAGGAAGGGGATAAATGCTTTGTTTCCAGCTCGGGGCTTCAGTGCATGCTGTCCACCTCTCTGACTCCAAAAACACCTGCAACAAAAAAAGTGATTGTAACTCTGGTCAGAGAAAGAGTAACAACCACAAAGAGCCTGAATGTTGAGATATTTTTATGTTGTCAACAATAAATCTCGGCAGTCATGTTTTAGTCCAACAAGGACATGAGGTCCTTAAAGTACTCACTGCAAGGAGATATTTGCTGAAGAGTGTCTTATTGTTGTGAGCTGTAGAAAAAGCTGCTAAATGAACCTTGAGTTTAGAATCTTTGTATCTGCCCGTGCCTTCACATGTGCATGCATGTGTTTTATTGTGGCCTTGCGTTTCTGTGCCAGAGTGATTTATGCACGTTATTTACTGCAATGTGTGTGTTTTTTTTTTTTTTTTTGTCTCCTTGCATTGACTGCTCAGTGTTTTAAATAGCCTCTGACAATGCAGAATAATTGTATCCTGCATGATGCAGTTACTAACATTAATATTCTTCCTCTCTTGTATTGCCATGCACGCTTATAAATAATCTCAATAACTTTGTCATTTTAATATTGCACTTCTTTCTTCAGAGTGACTTTGCTGCATCTATCCAGGGACGACACAAGAGAAATGCCCGCTGGTGTATTTACAGCGAACTCTCATATTTATGCGCATTGTCCCCATTAAATACACCAATAAATAAAACAAATAATAAAATAAGAATATTTTATCATGCATATTTCTAATGTACATGTTTGCTCTGCTGCAAAATAAATTACTGTGTAAAAAAAAACAGCATTTTACCAACTTAAAGAGATGGTTCTCCCAGAAAATGAAAATGAATTTCATTTACACCATGTAAACGTTTCAAGATGAAAGAAATTTGAGCAGTATGGAGGTATTTTATGGTTTTTTTGTGGGTTTTTTACATTTAAAGAAGGGGTGACCAGTGACTTCACTGAATTTGGCTGCGACACTGTTTACCCTGGAAACTACAAAATAGTTTTGGGGACTCAAACACTTCACCCACCCTTCCATCGATGGTATGTAGATAATTAGGGAATATTCAATTGTGGGTGAACTATCCCTTTAACAGTGAGTAACTGGGCCCAAGACCTTCAGGGGGCCTGAGGGCTCCATGTTCAGTGCAGCCATTAGTTTATTTTAATTTGACTGTTGGCAATTAGTTTACTAATACTGTTTTTACCACTCGTGGCCTTATTGGCACATCTCCATTTTTGAATCTTGTGGAAGATTTTAAGTCTGGTTTTAGTGACTATTATTTTAATCTATGATCCTTAAATGGTGTTTGGTTCACTCACACATACACACACACACACACACACACACACACATACACACACACTGCACAGACATCAAGAGAAACAGGGGTCCGTGAAGGCTCCTCTGAAGGTTAATCTGGCTCCGGCCTGCAGTGTATGCAAGCAAATCAATGAAGTAATACGAGCAATTCAAGCTGCAAATAAATAAAGCCAAGATAAGCCAGGGGGCCTTATCAATAGTTGATTAAAGTGTTTGATTAATGCAATTATTTGGCATTTTATGTGAAAACCTTCTGCCATAATTTGACTTTTCCCTCTGCTGTGTAGTTTTTTCCCCCTGCATTATCAATAATCAAACTGTGGCCGATATGTGCTGAACAGACAAAGAGATGATACAGCTTGTTCATAAAACTGTAACATGCACTAAATTAGATTTACTCCCTCTAAATTCTTCCATTGATCATTCTCAATCACAAATATACAGAATAAAACAAGTCAACTTCCAAAAACTCTGTGATGCATTGCCTGCAGATTCAAAAGAGAAGGCACACGTTTCACTTCACGAGACAAAGACTCAGACTACAGCCGCCTGCAGGTGGCGCTGTAAGACAACAGATCTGTACAGGTCAGCTCCCTTAAGTAGTGTGTGTGTGTGCGTGCGTGTGTGTGTGTCAAACAATGTCAAGTGTTGCGACACAAACACGCGCACGTGAGTAATGAAACCACATTTCCCACAAGGCCCTGCGCTCGCGATAAGGAAATGGGTTAAGTGAGGTCAGGTCGCTCTTCCTGGCTGTGGAGCGTAAACTCAGCGATTATTCACGACACCTTCACGCGTCTTGTGTTCGTAAAGCAGGTACACAACTTTACTCTCTTTGACCACGTGACGTGTCTGACTTAATGACCTGTTCTCACCGTGTGAGGCTGATCTATAGAGAGAGAGAGAGTGTGTGTGTGTGTGTGTGTGTGTGTGTGTGTGTGTGATCATTAATTCATCAGCCGCAGTAGTTTGTGTCAGGGGGAAGAATCGCTGTAGCTGTCATTGATAACTCAGGACAGGACTTCACTAGAAGAACAGCTTTACGTTAGAGGAGAATGGACTGTTAGCAGAGTCAGATCGCGCCGTAGATGTTCGGCGCTAATGCAGGAAGATAACCTGGACGTCAGAGTCACACACACACCTACACAGATCACGTGCACCTTACAGCGTCACTTTGAGAGCATCGTGTCCATACATGAGTCAACATAGACATGATTATTAAAACCGTAAAGAGTAAATGGAAGAAGGTCTGCGGCTGAACACTCAGAATAAACTCCTCTCCTGATCACTGTTCCTTGACCATGGAGGAACACGTCACAAGGTGAAGGAGAGCCACGGTGCAGCCGTGTGAACCCATGAATAACTGGTCTGGGATCATCTAAGCACAAGTGAATGAAATTTGAGTTTCACATGAGAGTTTCGGTTCTGTGTGTTTTAAGGAAGATCCTGAGTTGGACTCAGGTTTCAGTCATGGTGTCAGGCTGTGACTCACGCTGCACTGACTCTGTGGCTTCATGTTGAGCTCACACACACATGCATGTATCTCTACAGTTGTGAGGACACTCATTGACATAATGCATTCCCTAACCCTAACCCTAACCATCATAACTAACCCTATCCCATGCATCGCTTTAAATATATCTGCCGCAGTGAATTGTGGGATGAAAATGTCTCCTTTGATTCCATAAGGGATGGCCCAGTGTTTCCTATGCTAAAGGAGATACGTAAGGATGCATAAGCCTCTCCTTTCCTTTTCATTGAGGGAATTCAAACAGCTCTTATGGCGGCCACTGAAACACTTCCAGGTAGTTTCACTCAGTTAGGAACCTTCCTAAGCAAAGAGGACTATTTGAAATGTGTCAGTCACACATGTTTCTTACTGTGCTTATATCTCTACTGAGCCTGATACTGTTCTGTGTGTTTGTCTGTGTGGAGCAGATACTATTTGGTTGATTAGCCCCAAACTGATAAATGTGTCCCACTCCCCAGACAGCAGATGCTGCAGGGCGGCCCCTCCACTCCCAGCTGCACCTCCACCGCACCGGACTGCTTCCCCCTCAGCCTCCACAACACAGCCGAATGTAGAAGTGAGATCTCGGCTGAACCAGCAGAGCGCAAAGTCAGAGCAAATAACACAGTGAGTGTGGGTTAAAGATTGACTGTGGCAAATAAAAAAAAAATCATCAGGTGCAGCTATGACTCCTGCATGGTGAGCAGCTAAGCCTTGTGTTGTAGAGTAGGAAGTGCACAGTTTTACAGCAGCTGTGGATAAGGTAAGGTGAGCAGTACATTTCTGTCAAATGTCAAGCTTGTGAGAAAATGTTGAGCTTGTGATGCTGAAATAAGTGGTTTGTAGTTCAAGGTTAAAATAGCAGTTGTGATAGTTTTATGAAGGTTAGAATTAAGGTTTAACAGTTTTTATCCTTCCAGCCTATTGTTCTTTCACTTTAGTAAAAAGTTAAATTTTGGCAGGTAGCTGCTTCCTTTATCCATCGAACATTGATTTGGTGAATATGTGGAGGTTAAGACAGCTCTGGATTTGGTCTCTTAATATATCCGTGTATCTTTTAGCCGATGTGTCAACAGTTTTCAGTGAATATTTGATCATATGTTAAAGGACTGTTTCACACTGAGCTGTAGCCATGAATTATTGCTGTGACAATAGATGTGTGTAACCCTATTGTCTTGTAAGGAACTTTTAGACTTCCCCTGGCCCGATCAGTTCTTACTTTGCAGTTACTAACTCATGTTGGGATTGAATCAGCCACATGACTCTCTCTGTCTTACCACTACGCTGCCATGCTGTTCTGATTTGATTCTCTTTAGCTGAAAGATCTCTCCAGAATGAGGCCCATCGTGAACTTCTACATATGGTACCTGCTGTGCCTGTGCCTGGGCTTGGCCTGCGTGGTGTGCGTGTGTGTGTGGAACAGTCAGTGGCGCGGCGGGTTCGCCTGGGACGGCTCGGCCCTGCAGTTCAACTGGCACCCCGTCCTGATGGTCACAGGTCTGGTGGTGGTGTACGGCATCGGTGAGTGACTTTTTCAATTTTGGATCACTAAGTTTCATTTCTCTTTCTCACTTCTACACACACACACACACACACATATAGACACATGCCACAGTTCTCAAAACTGCCCCTGTGGTAGTTCTTATACAACAGATGTTTCCATGACTAAATCTGCATGCTGAAGTGTCCTTGGGCAAGATACTGAACCCCACATAGACAAAGTGTTTTCACACAAACCAACTCGGAAGGTGAAACAACACTTGTAATGTAACATTCATGATGTATACTTGGCAAGTTTTTGTGTTTGACAGGATCACCTGTGGTTTTCTTTCCAAGAATTTTATTTCCAAACATATGTGTAACACAGGAACACGATTCAGCCTTTTCCCCTCACACTGTGACAGGCAGATTTGTGAACACCTGTTTTAAATGGAAAGATGTTATTATTAAATACATATGAAGTCATCGAGCGTCAGTGAGCTCCATCTGCTTTGACAGTTTGAAGCAGTGGTTCCAATTGGTTGAGAGGTGAAACTAACACTGTATTGATCAGGAGTTCAATTTTCATTTCATAGGTTGGGGTGGGTTGTAATGGCAATATACCAGAGAGAGAGAGAGAGAGCGAGAGAGACTGTGTGAGTGTGGACACGTTTGGTTTGACTGACAGCTCCACTCCTACATCATACATTTCCTCCACAGTTCCACATGTTTTCAACCTGACCAGGTCTGAGCAGCCAGAGTCATAAATAACACCAGTGTGTGAGGGCAGAGGCTTTAAAGGGATAGTTCACCCAAAAATGAAAATTCACTCATTATTTACTAACTGCTATGCCAATGGAGGGGTGGGTGAAAAGTGTTTGAATCCACTAAACACTTTTGGACTTTCAGGGGTAAACACCGTTGCAGCCAAATCCAATACAAGTGAAGTAAATCATGTGATCCAAATGTCCGGGAGCCAGAGGACATTTAGGCCAAAAACATGGTGTAAATGACTTTGTTTCGAGTCTGATTTGAATGTCGGGGCTTTTGGACGTATTGGATGACACCACAGGAGCAGTTTGGAGGCATTTTAATGTTTTTTTCCTAATTGTTTTTTATGTTTGAAGAAGTGGTCATCATTTACATCAATTGTATTAAATTTGGCTCCGACACTGTTTACCACTAAAGTGTTTTGTGGACTCAAACACTTCACCCCTCCATCGCCAATTGGTGAGTAAATAATGAGTGAATTTTTATATTTGGTTTAACATAATATAATTCCAGCCTACATGAGGTTTAACTGACTGAACACACGTAACCTCCACTTTTCATCTTTGATAACGTGCTGTTGCTGAAATGGTTAAAAGATTGTGCAGGCTGCATAGTTTGTCCCTGTCTGTGACACATTCTGCAGCGACATTGAAACTGTAGTAAAAGGTGATTGATATTTCGCCTCATGCAGGTTGTAATGACAGTACATTATGTTAATGGTTAGCTGGACGTCAGGTGAAGAGCAGTAGACCCACAGTCTATGGGTAGTAGTTCCAGTGGACTCTCTCTCTGTCTCTTGCTCATTCACTCTCTCTGAACAAGGGTGAAAAAAATAATCATGTGACTGTTGATAATAAAATGAAACACTGTCAGGGATCCTCACATGACTGTTTAAAGGCATTTTGGGGGGGGCAGTGCTCAACTGAAGAAAAAGGGCACCCCTCTCAAAGTTATTTATAAAAACAAAGTCAAATACAGGAAGGCAGCTTTTACTTATTCATTTATTTAATGAAGTACCAATAAACACATTAAGTACTGAGCAGATTACTGCAAAATGAATTCATACATTTATCACAAGAACAGGCAACAACAAAGAAAACAATGCTGTATACAATATACATGTGTAATTTAGTGGACTGTAAAATAAATATCCATCCTAAACCATTTGATCTTTACACAAAATTGAAAAGGGTTAGCAAAATTCTGCTTGTTTTTTTGTGTACTTTACAGGAGCCTTTTTGAATTAAACTAAAAGTTGAGCAAAGGGCAAACAACAAACTTAACAAACAGTGAAAATCTTACTCTGCATTAGAAAGTTAATGACATTATAACACTGCCTATACAACATGCTCAACTAACAGCTCAGTCGATGAGTATTGTACGTGTGATGTTATTACCTTTGTGATGCAGAATGTGTACAGCAGTATTGATATGATGTCCTGTTCAGGCTGACAGAACCAGCAGTGCACACCACTGTGGGTTTAACATGTTCACCCTGTGTGCTGGCATTAGGAGCATGGTCAGTGTGACTGTGAGAGAAAGGGACACAGAGTCAGAGAGAAAATGATCGAAAGAGCTCCGCAATTTTAATTGAGAATTTCTGCCATCATAGGCCATATTAAAAAAAACATAGATATCAATTTAGATATATTTTTTTACGTGTCTCACACAAAGGGCACTTTAATCAGAGGAAGAAAAAGGGCGGGTGCTTGAGCACTATCTGAGGTCTATCTGTGCACGTGCTTGGATGCCCATTGTTCAAGGTAAATATGGAAGGCAGTGTGGAGCAGGGCTACACACAGCGTTCCTATTACTTTGTTTTGCAACAGTAATTCACACTACTGATCTTCCAGGTTACAGGAAAATCACTGTTGCTGTTAATATATGTACAGTATATATGACTGCAGTTTTTCTAATGAAATATTGTGTACTGTATTATTATAAATATAAACATGCAAAATGACCAGGGTTCACGACAACCTTGGTTCACACAATATTAAGGATAACAAGCAAAAAATCTGTTGAGCATGTTTAAATTCTGTATGCCAGTGTTTTTACTGTGCACACACTCATACAGGTCACACCTGGACTAACTAATGTCAAACTGCCATATTAACATAATTTTGTCGGTTGGATATTGTGAATGTGCCTGCTAACTAGCAAACTTAATCTCCATGATGGAGGTAAATATACAGTTAAAGTGAAATGTATGTTGGCCAGGATTTAAAAGAAGGATCTGAGTATGTTCAGAGAAAACTGTATCACATCTATTTTTCTACTTTCTTCATCAATCTCAAGTCCTCAGTGTGAGATCCTCCATTTCCCATAATGCAACACATTTGTGTCTTTCCTTATGACTCTGCCATGTAAAGTCATTCTAACTCCATTCCTCCTGTTGGTATTGTGTAGACCTGAACTGAGTTAATCCTGCTAACACGTGTCTCCGTTGGCCCCCCCCCCCTGCAGGAGCGGTGGTGTACCGCATACCCCTGACCTGGGGTCAGAACAAACTGCCCTGGAAGGTCCTTCATGCTGCACTGATGCTCATCGCCCTGCTCCTGTCAATCGTGGGACTTTGTGCTGTGTTTGACTTCCACAATGCCAAACACATCGCCAACCTCTACTCCATACACAGCTGGATTGGAATTACTGCTACCGCTCTTTTTGCCACACAGGTATATCAGCTATTATGAACAGAATAACTTTATAGGTCAAAGTGAATAAGGTGAGCAGAATTATTTTGTTAGTTTTTTGCTCATTCTATCTGTGGATGTCTATTTGTTTGTCCATCTAGTGGGTGGTAGGTGTGGCTGGTTTTCTCCTGCCCTGCTCCCCTATGTCACTACGAAAACTCATGAAGCCCATCCATGTGTGGTTGGGAGGCAGCATACTGTTGCTCAGCATCGTCGCCTGCATCTCCGGGATTAACGAGAAACTCATCTTTACTCTGTAAGTCTCGTTTTTACTGCCTTTTTGTTTTTGTTTTTATCTCGGTTAAAATTTAAAAAATCCTCCAACGTTTTTTCCCACAGTAAAAACACCAGTGCAACTCAGCCATACTCCAGCCTTCCACCCGAGGCTGTGTTAGGAAATTCATTAGGGGTTTTGATCGTGGCCTTTGGTTTGGTCGTCCTGAAGATTCTGTCCAACTATAAATGGCAGCGACCGGACTCTCGGCCTGAGGATGTGGCTTATGAGGTCAGTGTGATGATGCTTTAAAAGAGATTAGAGAATTTATTGAGTAAAGAATTTAGTCTTAATCCTTGTCTGCTCTCTCCCACAGCCATTGTTTCAAGGAGAGAATGAATGAAGGAAAATTCTGAAATGCTCACTGCATCAAACCAGGCAGGGGAAATCTGCTCATCCATCACAGATCAGAAGAGACGAGATATCTCTACTCTGAATGTAAAAGTAGCTGCCTGGAGTTTGTAAGAATGATCTGTGTTTGCAAATATTTATTTGAAATGTATTTAACGTTGCTTTTTTTTTTTTGCTAAAAAAAGTGTGTTTCATGAAGAATGTCCTGCTGTGCACTGTGTGAGCTCTTCAATGATGAATTGTAGCTTTTACTTCATGCAGTAAAGCTGTAACTGGGCCAAACTGATGCAGGTCTCACAAAGACTTACTTCCACTAACACACAGGTTGTCGATAGCTGGGCAATGTACTGAAATACATTGTTCACTGCAGAGCTACATGCGTAAGGCTGGATCTACTATTCATCCAGATACTAATTCAGTTTTTTAAAATTATATTTTATACACACCCAAACTTCAGTTAAGGTCACGTTCAATCCATTTAGCTCTGAATATTGTCTAATGCAAACTTTTCAGCACTCGACCCTCAAACTAAAGATGCCAGATACAAACCCAGAGGTCGTTTATGCTGCAATGATTCTCCTGTTAATCTGTCATAAACATGAATTTGGGAACAATGAAGAACATATATCTATATTTTCACCATGTCTTTTCTTTCGAGAAATGTTTTTCTGAGCACCACCGGCCTTATGTATACCTAATTGAGCTCTTACACTGTGTCGGCACTTAGTCTATGTTCATGTGGATCTGGGGGTGTATTGCTTCAAATGTTATTGTCTCAGGAATTTGTGTAATGCTCTTAGATTGTAAGTACCCCGCTTTGGCCTATATGAACACCTGGATTGTTAAATTTCTCTTGCATGTGTTTTCGAGGGACTTTAGCCGCTAAGTGAAATGTCTGGCCACCTCCTTCTTTCGCAAAGATAGAAGATTGCGGTGTGACGTGACACAGCCATTTGTGATCCCCGGAGGATGAACTGTTAAACTTTTGAAAAACTGACGTTTACTATAGCACCATCATGAGGGTAATTCTTTTCCATTACTATATCGGCAAAGATCCACCACATTCTGTTTTGTCTCTGCCTTGATGTTGCATTTAAATTCACCAGATCCGTTTTTTTTTTATATCTGCACCAAATTTCACTCATTCATAAATCTTGCCATGTTAAATAAGCTGAAAATAATTCCTGGGTCCTCATTAAAATGTAATAATACGTTTCATGGTAATCCCTCTTGTACTGCCTTTGTACAGGTAAGTGTCCTTATTAGTCTGATTTAAGTTGAGTGTTTAATGTAAGACACATCTGGTAATGAAAATGTTTGATCCAACATGATTCTGTATTCTATAGAGAACTTTGTGTAGAATGAAAAGCTGCAGAAAAATAACCTACCCTGTTCCTCTCAAAAGGATTCTTTACTCTGTTTTTCTACAGCTATCACTTTATTTGATCAATAAATACTCTGAAGTTCACAGACTAGAATCTGTCAAAAACTTCCCATCAGATTTGGGTCCATCTGCTGAATGTCAGCCTTGTTTAGGAAAAACCCAGGAATAGCTTTTATCCTCTCCCTCAAAGTATAATGAAAGCAAACAATCTGGCAGCCCCGGTAAACTCACAACTCACTTACTGAGATCTGTGGAAGGATTTTCACTCTTGACCTTTATTGTTTACTGAACGTTTACTTCTGCTGAAAGTCAAACAATGACACAGTTGAGATCTTCTCTAGACTCTGTAATGTTGCCCTCAGATATGAGCTGGAATATGGCTCCGTAGTGGAAAACTAAAGTAACAACACAAACACTAACTTGGAATGTGGCCGATACCCTTTCCATCGTCGCCTACTGGTCCACCACAGACAGTCTGTCCAGATCTCAGTGTTTACCTTAAAAAACAAATTATTACTGAAGTACATTATTTGGGCAAAACCACTAAACAGAAGTAGGGAACACCCCAGGGGAAGTCTGCAGGGGAAGTGTGCAGCACAGGGATCGACATGGAATTACTCAGTGTGTCACGGGTCCAGGTTCTGACAGACTGCAGTGACGTGAGTTGGCTGTCACCTTACAGGATTGATTCATATCGCAGTGATTCTGAAAAAGTCAAAGTCAAAAAAAAGTCAGACATAATTAGATGTAAAACAATTCTGTAAATCTGCCCCAAGATAAGGAACAATATACTTTATTGCAACACATTATAAAGTTTCATTCAACTGCAAAAAGCAGTGTAACAAAACTGTAATGGGGTATATATATATATATATATATATATATATATATATATATGTGTGTGTGTGTGTGTGTGTGTGTGTGTGTGTGTGTGTGTACCTCCGTGTTTTACATATGAGTTATATTCAAGAAACTTCACACAGTAGTGTTGCTGAGGCCAAAAGATTTCAGGCAACACCAGCAGCTCTCCTCACAACACTAACTGACTTCCTCTTGTTCACAAGAAAAAAAACACACACTGCCAAGTCTGCGCCACAGGGATGAGCTGTCTGATGCACGCTGCGTGGGAGATCTCTGGGAGGAGAAGGTGACGGAGCACATCATTTTCTAAACCACGTGAGAAGTTTTACTTGGCTTCACAGTTTTGTTCCATTATTGAGAGAAAGTATGTCCTGTTTAACACTAGGTGGCAGCAGAGTTTAGTCCAGTCCACTTACAGCAAGGCTTCATACTGCATCCATGTTATGTTTATGTCATTTGCCGTGTACATATTTGCTTACAAAGACTATTTAGAGTTTTTTTTCCAGATATTAAGCTGAACAAACTGATGTTTGGAGAGCGAGGACAGAATGGTGAAGAAAGTCTGTTACAGTTGTATGTGTCATTGATGTGAACTCATCTCTATAGCATCACATGTAATTCACAGTAAATGAATAAGTCAGTTATTGCCATGCCTCTTGGACATTTGTTCCTCTTCGTTTTAAAGCATGGTGCAGCTCTCATTCTGAAAATGTGTAATCATCATCTTTCATCCAAAAGCACTGGGAAAAAATTAAAACATATTCAGACTGTTTTAGTGCTAATGCATTTTGAGGGACTGAAGCTCACAAAACAATATTCATTATTTGTTATCTTAACATGCACCGCCATGGTCGACTGATGAAAGTCTATAAATAAGCTTAGTTTTATAAATCACTTACAACTGAACTGCTCACTACATTTAGCATTCTCACAAAAATGAAAGAACAGTGAGGAATAAACTGTAACGTATAGATAGTTTTTTCTTTAGAATTAAAAAAAATGTCAAAACATTTAAATATTGTCTGTTATTTTGTGTGGCCTATTTAGCATGTCAAGCTATTAAACCTTAAACCTCAACAAACTACTGGAGTATTTGGCCAATGAAAACAAGCTCTTTCAGTTCATAATTGTATATAAAGATGGAAAACATATCTTTACTGCCACCGGCTATCTAGACACGAGACAGTCTCAGCTGTCTTTAAAGCATCAAATAACTAATTCGAACCAAGTTTAGTGGAAAAACACTTACATATACATCAACATGATAAGAAGTACTTGACGGAAACTTTCACTTTTTAGTTTGGTCTGTCTCCCAACAATTAACATGGAGGAAGCAGGATTTATGACCTATACCATCGACAACCACCATGTGGCGATCATGGCTGGCCATTTGTCTGCACCTTAGGTGAGCAGTCATGTCATCCATCATTATATACAGTCAGTGGTTTAAACTGACAGTTTCCTCATTGCACACTTTCTTTAAAGGTTCAGTGTGTAGAATTTAGTGACATCCAGAGGTGAAGTGTCACGTTGCAGCTGAACACTCCTCATTTTCACATGAAAGAGAACCTGTGGTGAACTTCAGTTGTCATTTAAACTCAATAGGTTTTAGTTTGTCCAGTTTGGACGACAGTAAAAAAAACATGGCGGCCTCCATATAGAGAACCCCCCTCCATGTAAATATAAAGTATTTAAATATAAAGGTTCCATTCTATGGTAGAGAAAACAACAATTCATACAACTTAGATGAAACACACCGGTGAAAACATCACTAGGATTATTGTATATTCAATTTCTGCCAAAAATCCCTTTCACCTAAATCTTACACACTGGACCTTTAAGTGTAGTTAAATTATAATGTTGTAGGTTGGGTTAAAGGTTAAAATCTGTTTTGGTAGTATTTTTTTCATAGATTTTTTTATAATCTGAAGTCATCCCAGGTTTAATAATGTGTACTTGTTTAGCTCACTTTGTTTGTTTTGTTTCTTAAACTAAATTTGAGACACATTTTTGAAAGCATCCCTTGCAAGCAACATGTGTATTGAAGCTTCACCTAACTTTGAGTGCAGCGTTCAGGATCACAGATGTATTATATGTTTTATACAGAGTATACAGTGCTATTTAACAGCCCAAACTATGAATTAGTAACTTAATCATTATTCTGCAAAGTGATTTTCAGCCTGCAGAGAATTGCATCCACTCGTTTTTTCAGCCAAAGACTGAAAACAGTTGATATTTTGAGCCTGATTCTACTCATTATTGAAAACTCTTTTTTTTCTCCATAGAGAAAAGAAGTGGATGGAAATGTCATCAATGAATCAAATACACAGCTTCCAAATAATGCATTCACAATCACAATGCAGCTTTATTTGTAGAGATGTATACACCAAGTTATTATCATTAAAAACACCAATAAACGAGCTGATCTCGTTTTTAAACAGGACATTGAGATGAACACGTCTGGTGCGGTCCTTCCGTTGCAGCTGTGCGCGCTCCCGCGAGGTGCATGCGCGTCTCGGCGGGGAGGCAGAATTCGGCACGACACCTGTGAGGTCATCGCGGAGAGGCGGAGCCCCCGCAGCCCTGAGATGTGCATGAGAGGGAGTGGAGGTTTGGAGAGAGACAGCTGACTGAGGGTCCGAGCTGCTCTGAGTCTGGTGCTGCAGGAGCTGCAGGACTTTAGAGCAGGAGACCAGCGACGAGGAAACAGTAAGTTCAGCCTGAGACAATCGAAGCTGTGCACTCAGAGTTGTCCTGTTGTGAAGCCTCAGTGTGTGTGTGTGTGTGTGTGTGTGTGTGTGTGTGTGTGTGTTAGTAAAGCAGTTTTTAATGGGCTGTGATGTTACTGCAGGGGTTTCACTGTCTTCAGCTCTGAGCTTCAGTGGCTGCATCGTGATGGTTTAAACTCATTGTGGGATTATGATGTTTTTTTTAACTTTAATTGCAGTAAGTGTTGTACATGATTCTCACTGATATCTGTGTTATTACCACTTGCATGATCCCACTACATCTAGAGCTGAAACACTTAGTTGATGAACTCCTGTGAGCTGAACACACTTGAGTTTTGTTATGTCACCTTGGCCTCTGTGAGCCTTTTCTTTTCCTTTGCCCTTCCATTGACTAAACAATGAACTGATTCATTTGAATAATTGCAAGTAGATTAATGAATAATGTGAAACAACCATTAAGTGCAGCCCTTGTTACATTCTCTGCAACAAGTTGCACCAACTGCAGGTATTCATGCAACTATGGATGTTTTTGATATATAGAAAATGTCGGCCTGAAGATAATTCATTGCATTTCAATCTGGAGCTTTTGTTTTTCTGGTGTGTGCGTGCAGTGAAGCTGAGTGCTGCAGAAAAGGGCTGAGGAGAGGCAGCCGACATTCTTATAAACTGACATTTTGACCTTTTCAGCCAATGCATATCCCCTGCAGCAGCAGGTGGGACACGTCTGACTTCCATTAAGGTGGAAGTCCCACCAACCCTTCTTAAAACACAGTGGTGCTTACATTGAGATAATGTGGGTTTTGTGAACAGTGATTTAGTAAAAAAAAAATATCATAATGATAATTGATTTTGTTCAAAAACATCAGGCAGCAGATGTTTCAGATTTCAAGGTTACTCCTTCACCCGAGAAATCATTTGTTTTCTGGAAAAACTCTCAGGAATGAGCTCATCTCAGGTCCGCATGCATCTTCACAGTTGAACCTGTCTTTTAATGTAAATGCTGACGGTGGTTGTTTTAATGACAACACACTGGCACTGACACATTGTGAGCAGACCCCGAGGCTGTGGGCTCCACTGCATCTGCTCGCTCTGTTACGTGTGTTGTTTCGAGCTTGTGCAACCACTGCCACGTTACAGAGAGGAAAGGAGCTCTGCAGCTGAGCCATCATCAGCCAGATGTTTTTCACACAAAAGCAGCAAAGTTTGATTTATTGCAAGACACACAGCTTTTGACGAATTGGTGCGTAATAGTGGTTTTGTGCATATTTTTTGAAATGTGCATGGGTTTGACTGACAGCGGACTCTTGGTTACATCACTCTTTGACTTATTCTCTGTCTTGAGAGGCAGGTAGGAGTTGGGGCCATTTATCATTATTTCTGATGGGAGTTTGGCTTTACCTCACCTGCTGGTGTCTGTCAGGCTCCACTCAAACTTCTCTAGGACTGAAAGTGAACCATCACCTGTCTGCACGCAGTGATATAAGCTGCAGGAGTCAAAAGGCATCAGCAAGTAATAAGTATCATGCAATACTTAAGTGTGAGGAATATTAAAAAAATATAGAAATTCGACAAATATGAATGTACCTAATATATAGTAAAGACAGGACAAATATGTGCAGTGTGAGAATATGTACAGTGAATGGATTACTACTACTATTACTTCTATTACTACTAATAATAATAACTTTATTTGGTTAGCACTCTTTCACCTCGATACAAGTTTAGGTATTTTACATCATCTATTGATTTATCACAGTCGTACAGGAAGCCTTAGCAAATGGAAACCTTTGTTATAAAATTGTTGCCAGTTGCTGTTTTAATGAATAATGAATAATGCCTTGCTGACTGGAAAGTAACGTGTTCTACTTTTACACACAGTCTGCAGTTTGCTGTAAAGGAAAAAAAAAAATGAAACTGACTGTGGCACAACTAAAACCACATATCTTGTGGGTTTTAATTCTAAAGCTGCAAACGTAAATGTTTAATCACCTTATAAAGATATGCAATCATCTAGCCCACGTCTAGCAGACACTGACCAACATTTGCATTTATTTGGAGCCATTTTTTGGGGCTCCCGACATCCCTCTCATTCACAACAGTAAACATCATGATTAGGTTCAACCTGGCCAAAGGATTTGGTAAAGACAAAATGCTGAAGAGCTCAGTTGTTTAAGGATATTTTGAATTGACAAAGGCTCTGTTGGTCTGAAGGAAGCTGCAGGGTTGAGTGATGATTCTCAGTTACGTTCTCAAGACACGTAGTCATTTAATGTCGACATAAACAATTATTTCTTTAACTTTATTTACATAGTATGTCTCAGGCTGTCCTCAGGCAGGTATGCTTCAGAAATAGAAACGCACAAAAACCTTTATGTGTACAAATCGATGAACATCTCCTCCCATTCTTCTTCTTCAGTCTGATCCTCTGTGACGTGCAGAACAGATGCCTCTGCGAACAACCATCTGAGACGTCACCAAGAGTTTTCATGACTGCTGCTCTCTCTTCATCTTTTCAACAGTGCCAACCAAAATGCTGACCACCAACTACCTGCCTTGCTGCACCGTCATCCTATCAGTGCTATTAAAGCTGACCCTTGCCCAGTATGAGCACCTGGGCTACCCGCCGGGCTACCCGGACCCAGAGCAGGAACAGTACTCAGCCCCTCAGCTGTCACCAGACACACCCAGGATCCAGCTCCGATTAGCTGGAGATAAGAGGAAGCACAACGAGGGCCGCGTTGAGGTTTTCTACAACGCCGAGTGGGGAACTGTGTGTGATGACGACTTCACTATCCACTCCGCTCAGGTGGTGTGTCGGGAGCTGGGCTACCTGGAAGCCATCTCATGGTCTCCTTCCTCGAAATATGGGAAAGGACAAGGTGGGTGCTGTAAAGATTAGGATATTATATATATATATATATATATATATATATATATATATATATATATATATATTATATCTGATTTTTACTCTAAGGCTAATACTGTAAGTGCATATTATTGATGTAACCCCTGTGCATGCAACTGTAATATGATTAATCGGAAAAAGGTTCATGGTAAATGTTCCACAGTTTTGGGAGAATGCAGTTTATCATTCACAAGAAATCTATTTTCCAATGTTTCCTTTATTTCCATCATTAAATGGAAAAGTTCCTCCTCAGGGAAGCACTGACAAATCTGTCTTTTGTCTCGTCAGGACCCATCTGGTTCGACAATCTCCACTGCACCGGCAAAGAAAGGACCTTGTCGCTGTGTCCGTCCAACGGGATCGGTGTTTCAGACTGCAAGCACAGCGAAGATGTAGGTGTGGTGTGCAGCGACAAGAGGATTCCAGGATTTAAATTTGTCAACACCTTGCCCAACCATGTGGAGGTAAACATGCATTTTCACTCCAGCCCAAAAACTTTGGGCACGTTTGTTGTTAATGGTATCTCTTTCTGCCCAGAGGACATTTTCTTTGGTGACACCTTGTCAGCTTGCATGGTCACAGCTGGGCTTTATCATCCATTTTGCTTTTAGTTTGTCTGAACAAACACAACATAAGTTCCTAAAGTCCTCTCAGACAGTGGAGTTTGACACATTATTGCCTTCATCTATATGCTAATTAATGAATATTTGTCATTCAGGCATACCAGTCCGTTACTGTACATAGATGTTACTTGTACATGTATTCAGACATGTTAGTTCAATATTTGGCAGCTTCATGGTTGTTCATCAAGTTTGATATCCAGACTGTATCAGTGATATATTTTAAAACGTATCTTACAATTGAAGCCGAAATAATTCCAGAGAATCTGCAGGTCTTGAAAAGTCTTTAAAAATATATATTAGTATTATTATTACTAGATTTTTTCATACATTTCTTCATTTATCAGAAAATTCGACCACCTGATTATAAAGTCCGACTGTGCACAAGCAAAGAATGACAAGATGTTGGGACTCTCATTTCAGTCCTATTTGCTCACAACATGTAAAGATGAACCTATGCTGCTGCCATGAGAAATACAGTGAGGGATTGCTGGTATAATAAGGGGGAGTGTTTAGAGCTTCTGCCTCACCATGAGATGAAAACCTATGAAAGTGACTCTCATTCAAACATGAGTCTGAAACCTGTCATGTCTGAAAGGAGCTTTAATGTCCTGCACAAAGATGCTCATTCCTAGTTATCCAAGGAAAGACACATTATTCAGTTCTTATTGGATTCCTAATTTAATCTTTTCAATATACGAAAACCTCAGTCCACAGTTAAGCTTTCATCAATGTGTTCATTTAGTGAGGTAGTGATTGATTGGTTTGTGTTGTTAAAGGGAACTGTTGTGTTACTTTGCATTCAGTTGTGGTGTCGTAAAAGATTAAGGTTAAAAAGGGCAACATTTTAGCAGCAAAGGCCAAGTTATCCTGACTTTTTATTCCTGTTGTAAGTCAAGTTCTAAAACTTCAGTAGCCTACATTTCCCAAAGTACAAATTAAATAGCATCTTTTTACACTTTTAAATTCCACTACCCGAGATAACTCTGATGACATCAGTCTACTGTTTTTTCACTTTTGACAAAGCTCCCCCAGATTCACATTTTAGTTTTCACAGGCTTAGTACGACTCAGAATCTATTTAGACAATAAATCTCCCCTGGTATTTGGCTGGAAATAGCTGTGTACTCTTAGAGTCAATAGCCCAGCCCTACTCCATTACTAATACTCCTCTCTAAATAGCTTGCAGTGAGAGTGTGTCAGTGAAAGTGAAGTTAAACTGGTAATTATTAGGTGTTGCACTCGTAACTGTCGTCTGGAGCTGACGGACCTTTAAGAGCCACCAAAAGCAGAATTTTATCTTTCTGCTCACTGAGCAGGCCTCATGAATCCACATTCCAACGTTATGAGCAAACTGCACAGCAGAGCTCCCTCTCTGCCACTGTCTCTCTGCCCCCCCCCCTCTCCCCCTCTCCCCCTCTCTTCTGCTACTTTGGAGAGTAGGAAGTTATAAAGCATTTTTAATATTGTCCTCAAAACATGGACAGCTGAGCTTTTCTTGTCTTTTCCTGAAGCAACAGGTATGAGGGGGAAGTAATTCATAATTGTATGATAACAATATCAATGTGGCAGCAGCAAGGTTTCATCTACAGTAAATGTATGATATAATTACTATTATGAATGCCGGGGGAGTTTTGTTTCACCTCTTTTTTTACCTCAGTTGCACCTTGAGAGGAAAATGAAGTCACATTCATACGACACATCCTGAAAGGACCTCTGCTGTCCTGGATAAAGATATGTATCACCAGTTAACACAGAACAACACTTATTACACATTCATTTTCTGTATCTGTATCTGTATGTAATCAAACATAGCGCTAGTCAAACATTGAGGAATAATGTAGATCACATGATGGCACTAAAACAATCATTTGAGAATCAAGGTTATGCTTCACACAGATCTGATGATATTGCTCTTTGCATTATTATGCATTCATCAACTTTTTTCCACCTCAGCCCAGTTTGGAAACTTTTTTGTGAAAAGCTTTTTACATTTTTTAATTCTTGCTGTTCATACTCAGTTGTCTTTATTTGCTCATTTTAACTACACATAGAACTTGCTGATTGGAAACTGAAGCGTTATCCCCTGAATCTGCGGCTGATCTAGATCTAGAGTGAATGACAGTGGGCTGTCCAGGCTAAAACTCTAGAGGTCTGGTTCACGCTCTCTGATCTTTTACCACTGCAGAAAAGCTCTGTACACTATACCTGCTCAGCACCAGACAGGAGAAAGACACTGTCGAGCATTAAGCAGCTTTAGTGGAGACCAAAACTGAGCTATGAGAGAGTGAAGATTGGACTTCTTCTAAATTAAATCAACAACTGGTGATATAAAGTTCATACAAGGTGTTCATATGTTTGTAATAACAATTTTGAATCCACTTGGGTCTTTAAAAGAGCTGCCTAAGAATAAGTACAAGTAATACAAGTAGTGTAGTGTAAAATGTTTGCAGCACAGCCAAAGTTGTTGCCTTTTTTATTGCACCTACATTACCCACATCTGGATAATGTAGCTAATGTAGCCACAAGCCTGTGTCATCTAACAGAGATGAGGAGTGGGCATGGAAAACTCACTGCACTCTCCACACACCCACACATTTTTGTTTCCATTTTCAAACTAGTCTTCACTTCCACAAATCTCTTTCACATATGCAGTATTACTCCCCAACATATAACATAATCTTAGAGCTGTGGCAGTTGACACTTTTAGCTGACTTCCTGCTCTGAGGTTTACAGACACAAAAGGTAAAGGGATGTCTGGAGGGGTCTAGACGTCTGGAGTCAAGCTGGTTTAGCAGCTAAAAACAAATAATCAGACTCAGCTTTTCCATTCACTAAAAGGAGCCCACGGACTTATCATCTGGAAGTGGTAATCTGGCCACTCGCCCACGCACATGCTAGGGTGTAATGGCAGGATGACGACATGTCCATGGGGGTTTTTGTGGTACGGAATGATTAGTAGGCATGTCGCGGCACCAGTACTTTCTCAGGTGATGGGAACCGCAGTGCAACGGTCAGCCAGTCAGCCACAGAGGAAATGCCTAGAGAGTGAGCTAAGAAGGAGGCGAAACATGAACCCTCGCATGCACGTGTCGCTGACCTTTGACATGTGAGCTCCAGCTCCACTTTGCGTGCGCTTTGTCTCCTCCGCATTGTTAAAAATAAAAGAGGAGGTGTTACATTTGGAACGTTTCTATTTTGGTCGTTGACTGTGTTCTCATGTGGTTAGGATAGTTCATGGGTTTGCACGGATTCCAGCGACCTCATGTTTAGCTCCGTGCCTCAGTCAGCTGGACAGTAAACATCATGGGTTGACACCCAGTGTTCAGTTCTGCGTCTCTGGAATATTCAGAGCGGCATCTCGCCAGTGTTTATTTGTGCTGTAGGTTCCTGCCGCGCTTTGAGGAAGTCTGCTGCCTCGCCTAAGCATTTCAGTTCATGCAGGAGTGGCATGCATTGCATTCCATCTCAAACCTCTTTCAACATTAAGAAATTCTGGGGTTTATGAAATGTGATGGTTGGCAGTGCCAGTTTCCACAATGGCCCAACAGACTGCCCCATTTATCCAAATTATATGAACAGGGACTCAGTCACATTTCTCCACCTTAGTTGTTCCAATGAGCGCACAGGAGGGACAGAAGCAGCAGTCAGAAACATCTGAGGAAAGAAAGAGGGGTATTCTCCACCACTTGACCTCATGGGCAAATGACAACTTGTGTGTCATTGTGTGTAGACTGGCAACATTACAGAGATGTCTGTCAGCAGTGCAGAATGCCTTCAGAGATGTAATTAGGGCTGAGAATCATAATCGCTTTAGCCACCGTCGGCGCAAACATCTTCAATTATAAGTCATCAAAAGCTTTTGAAAAGGGAAAAAATGGTGATAATGATGGACTCACAAACTGGTGTGGTCTGCTTTTCAAGTATATTTTAATTACCTTCATTTCCACGGGGGAAGGCATCCAAATCTCCCTGTGTCACCTATGTTTCACGATTGCTGCTTTCAGACATGCAATGAACCCTGCAGATCCTTCTCCGGAGGGGATGCAAACTTCTGAGTGACAGGCTCCGGATTATCCACCTGACTCCCTCGTATAAAGTCCGGGGAATTTAATGTGAGAAAACTGCAGGAGATCCCCCGCTGGATTCACCGCAAGCTAGTGGGAGGTCGATGATGTTTCTAGCACGCGACAGTTGAAGAAATGAAAAAAAAAAACTAAACAAAAAGAAAACAAATCTCTCACGGCAATGAAAGGGTAGAAGACAGCGACGAAGATGCCGATGTCGGTGTCGAGGTGTTGTAAACAAAAATCTCCTCAGTGGATGTCACTATGTCACATCCTGCCTCTGCACCTGGCTGCTCACCTGATTTATGCAGAGGATTTGTTGCTGTTGTGAAAGCATCTGTGCAGAGAACCTCCTGCACGTGTGAAAGGCAAACTGCTTTGGTGACATCAGCCATCACTGTCTTACCCTCCATAGTCCATAACCTCCCTCCCTTCATCTCTTCTGTTTGAAGAGGGATCACTCACTTGTTTCAGTGTTTTTAAAAGGAGTGTGTTTGGTGGTTTTCTGATATTTCAGTAAAACCTTTCTAGATCTTGAATTTGTTCGGTGAAAGCAGCACCAGTGATCACAGCTCATTGTAAAAAACCTGGAGAGAGGAGGAAGATTTTGGTTATAACAGATGCCTAAAAGCCAATTGACACGTCCCATGATGCTTAGCTCAGTTATCCTCTGAGAGACTGCTCTCCTGTTCTGACAGATCAGCTGTAGGTGTTGTGTATGAACATGTAGGGATGAAATCACTGTTTGGGGATTAACAGAACCAAAGCCCTTCTCTTT